CGAATTTGCCTTCGGAAATACTTCGGGAACCTCCGCAACCTGCCGTAGGTTGGGAATGTCCCACGTGCACGTACTTGAACTCCCCGTCAAGGCCTGGGTGCGAGATGTGCTCAGCAGGTAGACCACAAGAATATCACATTCCTGACGATTATGTCCCGGATGATAGAGAGAGAGTAAGACTGCAACAAGCGGAATTTGGAGAACAGTTATTACTTGAGGTAGGATGACGTCATTGCGTTTGATAACATACTGCTCTTGTCCTCTCCTGTTGTAATGATAGAGCCATTTATACGAGCGAAAACAAATTTCGCAAAGTACCTGCCTCCCCGGTATGTATCTGCGAAAATTCACTCAACTCACAATAAAAAATCACTAAAATCTCAGACTATAAAAAATATATTGATAAGCTCTCGCTGTTGTTTTTTCCGCTCTCATACATAATTAGTATTCCATGTGCTCGCGTGTAGCACACGCGAGATGTCCACGCAATTAACCGTTCAGTTCTATAACAAACGTACTTGCAGGGAGGTGAGTCCGGGATTGGACGCACCGAGGGTGGCTGGAAGTTTCCCGAACTTACCGAGCGAAGCGAGGTGAGTTCGGGAAACTTCCAGTCACCCGAGGTGCGTCCAATCCCGGACTCACCGAACCTGCAAGTACGTTTGGTTTTTATCCCATACACCGAGCCATACACACATTTGTAGCTCTTCGCGATATATTCGTCGATGTTTTGTGAACATTTCCCCGGCCAAAAAAATCACTGGGCAAGAAAATACTTCTTTATCTACGTCTACATTACCTTTACTGCATTTTTTCTTTGGTTTTTCTTCAGTCTCAGTATGTTAGTCACCGAAAAAAAGTTCTTTAAAGTTTAGGTTTATCGGCTAAATCTTGTCCGCCATATTTGTTATTGTTATTGCAACGTAAGCAGTTTAGCGGGTGAGTTCGGCAAAAAGCAGGTGAGTTCGGCAAAAAGCAGGTGAGCTCGACGACAAGCTCACTTGCTCTAAACCAATCAGAAAGCCGCTTTTAACACAGGTATGGGATAACGACACAAGCCGTGGCCGCAGCTTGAATAAGTCGTGAACTCGACTCGTATAAACAGTCAACTTATTCCCAAGCCCCGCGGCTAAAATAAGCCCAGTGTTGAAAGCTAGGGCTGTTTATACGAGTCGTTCACGACTTATCTAAGCCGCGACTTATAGATGGCCGTAATAAGGAAGAACAGTTTAGAACTGATAGAGCTATGCAATATAAGTAAGGTTAGAATTTTTATTCTCTGACAACGGGCTTTGCTTAAAACGTCGGAATTCTCTTGTTTCAGGCTGGCGATACAAAACACGTCAATAACTAGTAATAATTTCATTGACATCAATATTAGTGACACAGATGCGATATTTCACGACGCACGACTGTCCAGAAAGCTTGATGCTCACAACACATGTTAAGGCACATTTCCACTCAAAACAAATTTCCATGGACAGAAAAATTTCCGAAAATGTCATTGTAAAAAATTTGAAAATTTTCATCAATCACATTTTACAAAATGTTCTTTCTGCGGAAAATTTTCCTGAGTGGAAATGGGCGTTTAGGTTCATTGTGTTGGACTTTGTACTAACAACTGCCGGTTCACCATTTTCAGCTGCACGACAGACATTGTCCAGTGAGATCCACGTAGTCTGCAGGTCATGCGCGGTTGGTTCTTGCTGGCCTTAACATCCAGGATCCGACGTTTGAGCAAAATTCATTTCCAAAACATACCACTCCAGATATTTACTGAGTTCACTGCATAGAACTAATTGGTGGTTTGCTTGTTCTTTGCAGGAGGTTACCGCCACGCAAGAACATTCCGCCTCTGACCAATCATAACTACATTTCTCCTCCAAGGACACAGAATGATATAAACTAAGATATCAAATAAAATATAAGTAAAGCGTTTTCTAGCTATAGTAGCACGAGTATTGCTACCCAAACAAGTTAATACTTAATGTCTTTTATTATTGTGTATTCTTATAAAGTAATTTTTGTCTTGAAATATAATATTATTATGGAACATTGCAAACAGTGTGTTGTTATCACTTGTATTGACCAATAATGAAGTAAAATGTCGTTTGAAGGAAAACGACGAACTGGACCTTACTAGCAAAGCTGGCACAAACCCCCAGTCGCCTGGTGTACGTGTTAAAATTACGAGGTTTCGAACAGGACACTAGTCCATCACACATCCTCAAAAAAGGCACACATTAGCTCACAACTAAGTGAACTGGAATATCAATGGAGAAACCTAGCTCGAAATATAATTCATTATTCCCTCAACGAGCCAACACTGGTTAACCCATTAGTACATATCATTGGGTTAACTCCATGTTGGTTTTCTGAGACTTAATTTTACCCACAAGAATTCTCTAACATCCGAAGTGTATGGATTTGTAACTAGATCAATTAACGCAATCAGGCTGCATCTTTTACTAAAATCTAGAGTGAACTTATGTTGAGAACAAAAAGTTGGTTGTTCTCAGGAAATTTTGTGCTCGTTGATGCCTCTGAAATGCTTTCAATTGTAATATGGCTTAAAAGCAGCAAAAAGCAGTAGGCCTGGAATAGATGCCGAAGTTTCTACGAGAAAGTTTCTTGAAAATGGTTGAACTGACGTTTACATATATAACATATTGCATAACAATAGCACCATCCAGTTATGAACCAGTAATATGAAAGTTTTATTGTCTTTTCAATGTTTTGAAAATCCCATTGTTCTCCATGCCATCCAGTCACTCGTTGTTTTGATGTATTTGTGAGGTTATGCAAAAGGCTTATTGTTTACGCTCTTTCAGGAAGAGGAAAGACAGAAACGTTCAGCAATGGAAGAACGGGATCGTAATTTCCAGCAACATATGTCAGTTGCACTTCGTCAACCACTCATTGCAAATCAAGAGGAGACCGAGTGTCCTATATGTTTTGATACCATCCCTGTTGGAGAAGGAGTGGTCCTTCGAGAATGTCTGCATATTTTTTGCAGGTAAGTTTCGGATATGGAATGCAACTATATATCCAGCAAAAATCAAACCTGCGACTCTGGTACAGTGCCCTAACCACAGAGCTACAGAGTCCTGTTACGAAGAGGAATTCATGTTTGTCTTCGCAATAAGTATCTTTTCTTTCTTGTATTTTCTATTATATTTTGAACTTTTTTCCTCCATAGGGAGTGTCTTGCTGAACATATTAAAGCATCACAAGAACCCGAGGTCCAATGTCCTTATGATAATGGAGACTTTCAGTGTCATGATGTTATCACAAATCAAGAAATACAGGAGGTGAGAGGATTCCTGTTCAATCCGACAATACTAAGGAAGCAAGGAGAAAATGGCTATAGCGTGGTCCATCGAACTGGATGTACTCGAACACTTCTCGTTGATTCTAATTTAAAAGATCACCTTAACCTTTCTAATTTGTCTTCAAATCAATCGTTATAATTATTTCCCCATCGTATCTGCTGTCTCGCAAATGTTGGTCATCTTTTTATTGAATGTCTCCACGCTAACTTGACTGAATCTTTCTCAACACTTTATCCTGGACATCTTCTCCTCTTAGTTTTTGTACCTCCAGATCTTTTGATACAATATCTCTCCATTTCATCCTTCGTCTTTAAACTGTTCGTCGAATTTCTATGGAATGTCTCCATGATAACGTGTCTGAATCTTTCTCCTCTCTTCCCCTATCTTCTCTTTGTCATCGGCCTGAATCTTCGACCAATTTCTATTTCAAGCTGCTGAATGATGAAGATTTTCAGAAGTATTTGCAACGTAGTTTGGCAACGGCTGAGAGTCAGGAGGCTAACAGTTTTCACTGTCAAACACCAAACTGTCATGGCTGGTGTATTTATGACGATGAAGTGAATGATTTCGATTGTCCAGTGTGCCAGCAGAGAAACTGTTTGACCTGCAAGGCCATTCATTTCCCAGTGAACTGTAAGGAATATCAGGATGATTTAAAGAGAAACGCAGCGAACGATGAAGCGGCTAAGAAGACTCAGGAATATCTTGAGGTAAGGGGGAGGTAGAGGTAAGGATGTAGGGAGAGGTAAGGGGGAGATAAAAGAGAAGGGGATGAACACAGAATGTGGGAGAGGGTCTAAATTGAAGTAGGTTGGAGAGGGGGTTAGGCGATGAGGCAGCTAAGAAGACACAAGAGTACCTTGAGGTAAGGGGGAGGTAGGGGGATGAACACAGGGTGTGGAAAAGGAAGATGGTCGAAATTGAAGTGGGTTGGAGAGGGGCCGGGCTAGGAACATAGGCGCACACCAAGAATTGGAGTTGGGATTTGGGTTGCGATTGGAAATAGGTTTGTAAGGAATAGCATAAAAGAAATCTCTTTGTTGAAATTGTGGTTGTTGAGTGTATACTATTTGTTTCCAGCAAATGTTGCGGACTAAAGACGGCATGAATTGTCCTACGTGTGGAATTATTCTTGTCAAAAAGGACGGCTGTGATTGGATGAAATGTTCAATGTGTAAAACCGAAATATGTTGGGCTGTGCGTGGTCCGAGATGGGGGCCAGGGGTAAGTCATTGTCTTTTCTTTATTAGGGTCTGCATCTCCAAATATAAATTTCGAACTGACATCTTACAAAATATCTTACTGACAACTGGCCAATATGGCTTGAAGATTAGGTTACAACTGACACCCAGAGACCCCTGCCAAGTCCTTTCCTTTTCTTCATTTGATGCGATTGTTCTATTTTGTTGTTTCTCACAGGGTCCTGGTGACACCAGCGGAGGTTGCAAATGTCGCGTGAACAACGTACGATGTGATCCACAATGCAAAAACTGTCATTGATGTCTCACGTGTTAGTCAGCATTTATTTATACAAACATCCATTACACCTGTAAAAATGGTAGAAGCGTAACAAGGATAGTTCAGACGTTCTCTGGTTTTTAATTTAAAGATTTATTAAACGATTTATTGTTCATCACTTGCCCGTTGAAAACTGCAGATTGGCAGTCGAAAGCTCGTTTTATAATAAATCTTTAAAAACCAGAGAACGCCTAGAGAACGCCTAAACTATAGACCCATTGCACTGACGTCACAAATCCTTAGAGTGTCCTCCAGATGCTCCCTAACAATATCTGTTCGGGTACAACAACCACATACAGCGCAAAAATGAACCATTTTAATACAAAATTTTTATAAACTTTTGCAAAATTTGCTTTGTTTACAAAAGTTATATGATGCATAGATTGCTAATTTGTCCTCCAGATGCATCGTCACCGGCGCTGTTACGTCATGTGCAATGGGTCTATATAATATCCATTTACCATAAGTGATATTTTTATAGCCACGTTTAATTTAGACTAACAGAAATAAATGCAATGCAAACTTGCTGTCCGATCTTATTTTCTAACGTGTCACAATATTTGAAAGCGAAATGGCAGGTGATTTTAAAAGAACATTTTTGCTACGTCAATAAGTGCAAAAGTCTATTTATGGATCGGGCATGTTACACCTTTGCTTCCTAAAATGGCAATCAAGGGATCCGTAAAATAGACAATTTTGTAGCATCCTTAAAAAGTCAAAACAATGGGTAATTGAATGAAGAACAGTGCCAGTGGAATTTTCAAAACAATAAGAAGGTAATTAATTATTAAAATTAATGCAACATTCCCATATTATAATCGAAGCGTGACTGGATGATATGCACAATAATTACTATTGTTTGTGCTTTTATATAAACGATATTTGCGGGAGAAAAGGCCGAAAACTTAAAATTCCTTCCGCTTGCCGCCCCCAAATTGATCGTTTCCAAGTTTATACCCTTAGTTTGTATTCTTTACTTAGAAAAACAATCGAAAATCATCCAATTAGGTAAAAATTTGCAGTAATTTATTCTGGAAATTTCTGAATAATTTATCAAAATTACCCGGAATCGAGGCTCGGGACTTCCCCTCGATATAACAATAACGTCATCGTTATTCGACATTCGTTGCAAAATGATTGTCGATTTTCGTCGAAGAAATAAAGGCTTGTAAAATATGTTTTCAACATTCCTTTCTCATGATATGGATGTACTTAAGTTTGGGAAGATATTATTACTTTATTATTGGATTTAAAGCGTAGTTTTCTTGTGTTTTTGACAACATTTAAAAGACATTTACTCAAAGTGAAACAAAATTTCCATGAGCACATTATGGCGGAAATGGTAAACATGTCAGATGGAAAGAATGTCCACTCATTTTATATTCTTCTGAGAGATAGAATAGCTAAAAAGCCTGACAAAAGCTACAACTCATCGAGTTTAAAATTTGCATCTCTACTTCAGGGAGAAATCTTGATTCGAAATGTTACAACAGCTGCTGATGAAAGCAAGGGTTTAATAAGACTCCATCCTTATGACAAACCCAACTATTTTTGTGACTGCCCTTTCGGAGATGTGAAACGCATTGACGAAAAAGAAGCTAAATTGTTACTTCCAATAAGTACGATGGGCAACCGATTTAAGTTATTTGAAAACAAGTCTCTTTTAAATGGAAAGAAAATGACCCTTGGCAGTTATGTTTATGTCACGGTTCGATCAGTAGGTGGTGGTAGTAGTAAACAGGAAATACGGGGGGTAGTCAGGTACAAAGGACCATTGCCAAAGGAGTATGGTACATGGTTTGGTGTCGAGTTACTGGTAAGTCAGGTAGTGAAAAAGGTTTACATGAAGTAAATGCCCATTATGCCCAATCCAGATGCCAAAGCCTGTTTATCAGGATTGAACAATGTTTTGCTGCCCACGTTGTTCACACTTGTCAACAATATTGAACAATATTGTTCAGCCTGAATCGGGTGTAACAACATTGTTCAATATTGTTGACAACTGTGAACAATGTGGGCAGCAAAGCATTGTTCAATCCTGTTTTCATCAATATTGCAATAACCTGAGCGTTTTTACGAGTGTACACAGCTAATTATTCATCATCCTAATACAGTATTACATCACAAACACTAACCACAAAGCTAAAATTGAACTATAATGTTATATGTTGTTTTATAATATAGCATTTGTAAATTCTGAACGCTGATTGGCTAAGAGCCGTGTTGATATAACTCAATGTCAACACGGAAACGTCGGAAAATTTCTTTCTTTATATTTCTTTGTACTATATTATAAAACAAATATAAAACATTTTTCCGTATTGATATATAGTTATATCAACACTCGTGGAAATTGGGAAAACTCGAAATTGTGTGAAAACACTCCGCCCATCGGGCGTCGTGTTTCCACACAATTTCTCGTTTTCCCAATTTCCACTCGTGTTGATATAACTGTATATCAACACGGAAAATGTTTTATATTTGTTAAATGTTATATATAACTGTGAGCTTGTTATTGTTTGTAATTATTTTATTCAAAATGTGTGTAATTGTTCTTTTTCCTCAGGAAGGTGCGGGGAGGGGTACAACAAATGGAATGTATAAAGGAGTGACATTCTTCAAATGTCAAACTGATTTTGGCGTCTTTGTAACATTGGAAAAATTGAGATTATGTGAAGACCAAACAGAAACACAAAGTGAAAGTAAAACAGATCCCAAAGAGGTCAATGGTACTGATGAAAGCAACAGTGGTATGTTTACCAAAGTTAAGAAATTGGCAGAAGGTTTGTCAAACCTTGTGCTGGGAGAGCAACAACGTGAAAATTCTTTAGACATGCAGAAAAAAAGTGCTGGACAGGCATTAGATGTTGGACACCAAATGGATGACAGAGTCTGGGTATATATAGGTGATAAACTATGTGCAGGGTTTATAAGATATATTGGGAGAATACCAGGTGGAAAAGAAATTCTTGTTGGAATTGAGTTGGTAGGTACTTCGTTGGAAATATATACTATTTATCTGTAACTATATACACTAGTAATCTTTGGAACTAACTGCAGGACCAAATTGTAGGACCATGATGTTGGGCAAGGAAATGGAGACTATTATAATAAGCAGTTATTTACATGCGCAATGAATCATGCTCATTTCACTCCTGTTGACAATGTGATCTCGCACGAAAAACTTCAAGAACTTTATCATGAACCAGAAGGTGCAAATATGCCAGGTAGTTCAAGTAACATTTTTCAGTGTTCATTATTAGCACCATCATGATCACAATTACCACCACTGATCATTACCACCATTATTATCACAATCACCCATTGAAATGAATATAACTGGAACACTACCTGTCTACCTCTAACCGGAAATTTGATGCCAAACTTGAAGGCCAATCCCAGACACATGTCAAGATTTGGCTTCAAGGAAAAGATAGGCAGTTTATTTGAAGGGAACGTTCATTTCAATGTGATCACCACTGACATTATCATAACCACTGCTATACTCACCATCATACTATACTGTAGTCACCATCACACCATCATCATCACAACCATCATTATTATCCCTGGACCCTGGCACCATAATCGCCATATCCACTGCCATCACCACCATTATCATTATCACCACCACCATGATGATATAACATATAATACATCATTTGGATGTTGTTGCTCATTATCCCTTTGTTTCAAAATATAAATAATTACTTTTCTCCTGTCAGCTTTAAAAAACAACCCACATTCTCAACCACAAACGTCACAGGATATTTTGAACATGGAATCACGATTTTCAAACCAGTCTCAAGACCAGGTCAGGAAGGAACAAGAAAACATGTTAAAAAAATTCCAACAGGACAAACTGAAAATGGCAGGGACAAAAAATTTCCAGGAAAATAGATCTGGTGTAGAGCACACACAACTTGATGAACATTGGAAGAACAAAAATAGAAATCAACCAAAAGTTAATAATTATGTCACTTGTACAACTGTTGAAGTAAATAAACATGTAAAAGGTATATAAAACAGTTCTTTATTACCAGGGTGGACGAAATAATTTTCTTTCTGGGAACACAGCCTGGAGGTAAAAATTTCCTGCAGATGAACTAACTATTTTTGTGCTAAATCTCTGCCGGAAAAATAGGTTTTTGGGCCCATATTGGGACATGTGCACATAATTTCATTTGAACTTTCAGGTTGCAAAACATTTCCTGCAGGGTGGTTGGCATTTCCTGTGAGTGGTGCTTGTGTGCTTGACTAGTTTTTCCCACCACTGTATATAGCAATGTTTCCTTTGACACCTTGGAATGCTACTTTTTTCACAATTTACTGTAAAAGTAAATACCATAAAAGTATCTAATTTTTTAGATCCAAGAAGTCCAACTTCTTTGCCAAGTAAAATGGACATTGGCTCAATGGTTGAAGTATTGAGTAAACACCAAGCTCCTAAATATGGTGTAATACGATGGATAGGGTTTATTCCAAATAATGACAAAAAAATTGCAGGATTAGAACTAGTAAGTTAATAAATGCTGAATTTAATGCAAGTGAGTATAGTTATTTACGTTAGGAAATAAGCAGGATGTTTCATTTTGGCCTAATTTTCTTTTACTGTACCTCACGTTTTCCATAGATTTTTCTCATCCTAAGACTTTTGAAATCTAGAATTCCATCATTTTTCTTCCTTTCATCCTATTTCCTAATACCAAAAACATTTTCCTAATACTCAAAATACCATTCCATCAAACAGAATGCATCCTTTAATGTTCCCTTTGAAATTTCTCACTGTTAGGAAGAAGAATTGGCTGCCTGCACAGATGGAACATTTCTCAGCAAACGTTACTTTACATGTCCAAACAGACGTGGCTTCTTTGTTCATCTTCACAACTGTCTACCGGATTCAAGATTTCTGAGAAATTCCATAGAGAATCATGCAGACAAACGTTTGAGTGGGACAGGTGAGCAATTAGTACCAATTTGTCCATGGTTGCAATAAAGTTTTCAGGGCATTTTATAGCTTTTATCAGCAAAACAAACTGCTTCCTGAATATATAGTTGTAGTTATTATCTCTTGTTGTGGATTGTACTTGGTTCCAGTAGTGCTCCACAAAAAAACTATTGGAATTCGTGTCTAAATTGATAACCTCCTAAAGAAGGGCCTTTGCTAAAACGTACAAGTGTTTCTAATCTTTTTTCAGATAGTTGAGACCATGACAACTTCTATATGGTAATGTTAGTGTATCTCAAAAGTGAAACCCGAGGGTCCACAGTGTAGGAGTATGTTTCCATTGACCTTATCCCAAAATTTAAAACGTTTCAGTCTTTCTGTTTATGTATAAACCAGGGGCCGGTTGCTCAAAAGCCGGTTAGCCTAACCCTAGGTGGATGGATCCGTGAGAGTTCTCTTTTCTGAAGTTTTGAAACAAACAGATGTGTATAAATACAGAAACTAAAATAGCAGGTTAAATTAACCCAGGGTTAGCGCTAATCCAGCTTGGAACAAGCGGCCCCAGAATTCTAATAGTTCATATTTATCTGCATTATTTTGCTTGTAGATTTTGGAAGGTACTATTCACCGATTATAGAAGAAGATGTGTTTATCCCACCTCCTGAGAAATTGAAAGTCTACTTAAAACAAGATGCCCAAGGAATACAAGGCCATCATAACTCGTGTTATTTGGACGCCACGCTGTTTGCAGCATTTGCATTTTCTTCTGTCATGGATTCAATATTATTACGACCCAAAAATGAAAAAGACATTGATGACTACAAGAAAGTACAGACTGTGCTTAGAAATAATATTGTGTATCCGTTAAGATCGTAAGTGATGTGCAAACTAAACAAATTCATGCAGGATAAATCTATCAATTCTAAACTGTTCACTTTAGAGTTCTGGAGCCATGGCTTAATTACTAAATGTCAGTACAGGAGGTATAAACCTACATTCTCTGTAGTCAAATAGAATAAGAATAGTGAACTCCATGCAGATATAATAGACCTCTATGTTTTTGTCTTGGTCTTGGTTATGCAAGAAATGGTCGGTTCATCGTCACGTGTGTATTGTATTTTCGCTTGAGCAACCAATAGCTATATTTTCATTTAACCATTGACATTGTGTAACATCACAACCGGGTAAGTAAACCAACACACTGCTATTGCATGGTTGCTCTAGTGAAAAAACGTTACACACGTCATAAATCATTTTTGTCTGTTGGAAGACTACAGTTCAAAGTTCTTACCTGCTTTATCTCAATCTAGTCATGGGTTTGTCCGTGCTGATCGTGTCCTGGAACTTCGACAACTACTCGATAAATTGGGAACTGTCACAGGATTGGTCGGAGAGGAGAAAGGTAAACCTGTCTACCTGCTCACCTCGTATCATCTCTGCCATATTGGATGAAAAAAATTTTCTTCTTTGCATGGCAAAAATGTTTTTATCCTTTGAATCCCTTGGGTATTGGTTGCATCCACCTACACTATATAAGTCAGTTTTTGTTTGTTATTTTAGATCCTGAGGAGTTTTTAACCACACTTCTTCACCAAGTCCTGAAATCGGAACCATTTTTAAAAATCAAGTAAGATTGAACTGACCAAACTGTGAGCTAATATTAGGACGTGAGAATATGAAAGATGTTTGAAAGGTAGTAATCACAGAATAGGATTAAGAAGAATGCTAGAATAGTAATGTTCTATCTTGCAGATCAGGAAAATCAGATGTAAGCAATGAATATTTCTATCAAGTTCTCGCTGACAAAGATGTTGAACGTGTTTTACCTTCTGTTGAAGAACTTCTCAAGAAATCATTTCATCAATCTGATTTGAAACTTACCGAGGTAGGTGAACCTGGATACATTTTCGTCATTTTCTCTGCTTTGCGATTTGGATACGATCAAATGCGCTTTACATCAAGTATTACGCTTACCTAATTACAATATACTTACCCCAGGGGTCAGTTGTTCAAAGGTGGGTTAGCGCTAACCCTGGGTTAAAATTTAACCTGCTGTTTTAGTTTGTGTATTTCTGCACGTCTGTTTATTGCAAAACTTCAGAGAAGTAAACTCCTATCTATCCAGACAAGATCTCTGAAGAAATATTTCCAAATTTATAGACAAGCTGTCAGGAAGTTTGCTTTGAATTTTAGGTTAACCCAGGGTTAAGCTAACCCAGCTTTGAACAACCGGCCCCAGGTTATTTTATCTTTACAACAATTGTGATTACTTTCTTAACTGTGTTTATCCTAACCCACCCTGTCAACTTTCCCTGTGGGAGGAAACAGGAGCACCCGGAGAAAACACACGACTTTCGGTAAAGTGTTGACTGACTCATGAGTCCGTAGCGAGAATCGAACCCACGATCTCAGAAGTGAAAGGCGCTTGCTCTGACAACTGCGCCACTGAAATCTCCTACAATTGCTTATTACGTGAAGTTTGAATGCCCTCTTTCCATAACACTTTACATAACAATAATCCCATCCAGTCACGATCCAGCGTCTTTTCATTGTTTTGAAAATCTCAAAACAATGATGCCACCCAGTCAGGGTCTTAGCCAGGATTTGCAACTTGGGTGTCCAAATTTGAAATTTCGTTTATGACACCCAATTTTTGCCATATGGAACCATGGCACCACTTCATGCATCAGTAATTCAGCAATGTGATTATTCCCGAATGCTGGGAGTAATCGGTGACCGCACTTGAGAATCGCCCAAAAAACTAATAATATATTCAATTATTCAGACTATGTCACTACTCAGTACTCACTACACTGACTACAGTAGTACAGTTTAAGTAAATCTGCCAATATATTAATTTTATTGATATTACGTTGTCACTTTCATGCTATAAATACAGTATTGTAGCTTTGATAAGCTTGTGTAAGCAGAGAACACAACCAAAAAACAACAAAAAGCAACTGATTAACTCATATAGTTATATTCTGCGGTTTTTGACAGCTAGGAATCTTTCCGCTGCAACTTGCAAACTTGTGAGCAATGTTTATTGTCTATGGTATTTTATTCTCAGCAGCTTGTCTAACCGATCTATGGTCAGTTGGTTTCGCACTTGTGTTTTTATGCGATTCTGAATGCTAAACACCCTTTCTGCTTCTGCATTTCCAACCATTACACACAAGCAAGTTGCCATAGTTGAAAACTAGGCGAGTCTATTTCCTGAAAGGATAATAAAATTCGCGTAGGTTTCACTAGCGGCGCATGTTTACTAGGATTACAAAGTTACATATTACTAGCCGTTTCTATACTCAGTGAACGAAACGCAAATACATAATTTAACATAATATTTGATTGTAAGGTACTCTACAGCTTTTACCCAGCCGTCCAAAAGGCGTCAACATGATAACGAAGCGTCCAAAAGCCGTCTTTTTTAGAAGGCCGTCCAAATTTGAAAATGGCCGTCCAAAAGACGGCTGGACGGTAGGCTGGCTAAGACCCTGCACCCAGTATTTTGACTACATTATTCTGAAGAAGGCCTATTGTTGCTAAACTAAACTGTCTAAATCATTATTCTGTTATTAGGTTCCATCATGTTTGATAGTTCAGATGCCTCGTTTTGGAAAAGGTTTTAAAATGTACAAAAGAATTCTACCATCATTGACGATCAACATTGGAGAATTAGTTGACAATTGTAAGTCGATGAAATGTTTCCAGTTCTTTAGGCAAACATGATTATAACTTCCCATCTTCAGCTTCGTACACGTTACAGTCATTTAAAAGTCCATGATATTTCCAAGAATATCCATCACCACTTTTCAATAACCAACAGATCCTAACACTCGAAGGTCGCCACCATATGATCATGGTGCACTACAGATTACATGGAACATACGTGGCTTTAAATGTAAATGATGAATAATGAATGATAAACTCTCTTTTTACTGCGTAGGTCCACAAGATTGTGCAGTATGTGGTCAACTCGCGCGGTACCATTGTAGAGAATGTTTTGCAGTCACTGGAACTGATATTGACAGTTCAGGGAATTTTTGCAAAGAATGTAACGAACGCGTACACTCTCATGTCAAGCGTAACAAGCACAAGTACATACCCATAGCCGTGTCCCGCGAGATTGGTGCAAGTTATGCTAATAAGCCTGTAGAACATCGTGAAATGGAACTGATTGCTGTGATCTGTATTGAGACCAGTCATTATGTCACATTTGCCAAGTGTGAGGAACCTGATGGTGTTGTGAAGTGGTGTTTCTTTGACAGTATGGCAGACAGAATAGGTAAGGATGATGCATGACCATGGGGGGGGGG